ACAGAAACAGAGAGACAGACAGAGACAGAGGCAGAGAGAGACAGTGAGAGACCGAGATTTGAACTCAGATCTTCCTGACTGGGTCCAGTGCTCCATCAACGGTGCCACTTAGCAACTAGGGAAGCAGCTTAAACCTAAGAATCATTTCCCAGACTAGCAATATTTGGAAGCAGATAGATATAATTCTAGTCTGATACCACCTCTCTGAGGAAAGCAGAGTAGCCAGTGTACTGGCACATTCTACTCTCCTCCAGGAAAGAATCAAAATTTCCCTTGGAGAAAAGTAGGTATGATGCTTGGGGTGCAAGATGAAAAGGGGAAAAAAGGGAGCTCATGGCCAACAGTCTCCATTTTTTCATTGAAGTATGACGCCAGGTCCTTACTTAACTGAGAGGGGGACAGAAGTGGGTAATGTCAGAGGCTTAAAGAAATAAGAGCAGTTATAGAACAATAGTTGTGGGAAATGGGATAGAAAATCAATTAATGAAGAGTAGGATTGTCTTGTTTGACTGCAGGTCTAGTTGAGACTAGATGACATAAATTTGTCGTGGACCCAGACTTCCTCCAGCTGGGTTCAGTGGTATGTAAATGGAAGGAAGAGAAACAGTTGGTGGGACATAGGTGAATGGGTGTGTGTGATCACGATGTGCCTGCATCTGGGTCCAGCATTGGGATTGGGATTGGACAAAGTGTGAATGATGATAGGACAAAGGATAAAGAAATTTAGGAGCAGCAGATGACATGACTTTGAACTAATTCACCAAGGGGTTAAGATTGGGAGAGGAAAAGAATACATATAGTCAGACAGCAGAGATGGTGCCCTGGAAAAGTTCTGACGGTGGAGGGATTGGAGACCACGATGAGAATGAATAGGGTTGGAGGTACTAAGGCACAGCGAGAGATGGAGTGATTTTAAAAATTGTGATCAGATAAAGGAATTTCAGTGTTCTTGTGCATGGAAATGGAATGCTTGTGGGTGATGGGAAGAACAAGGTATAACTGTGTGTGTAGCTGATTTGGAAGGGAGGAGTAGGTCATGGGATTTGAGCAGAATGAGGAAATGGAAAGTCGGGTGTAATGGAGACTGGTACATGCCCTGGTGATCATGCCATGGTGTCTCAGATGGTATCTCCATAGAGGGGATGCTAAGGAGCTGCCTCTGGCAGAACTGTGATGACCAGTAAGGGAAACACCTTAGAGAGACAGACATTCTATAACTAGTTCTGGTCAGTTAACCATTTGGTAAACAAGAGAGTCTTTGGTTGGTTGCAGAGTCATTCAAAAAGGCCTGCCAGATTGAAGCATACTTTTGTTTTTTACTTTATTATTCTTGGGTTGTGTTTTTTTTTTTTGTTCTGCATTCTCTTTTGCAACATGGTTAATATGGAAATGTTTTGCATGACTGCACATGTTTAATCTATATCAAATTGCTTACCTTCTCTAGGAAGGGGAAGGGAGGGAGAGAAAGAGTCTTGAGCTCAAAATAAACAAAAGAATGTTTAAAATGTTGTTTACGTGTAATTGAGAAAAAATCAAAATTAATCGTAAGCAAACAAACAAACAAACAAACAGGTCTGCTAGCTTCTGCCTTCTTTTTTTCCACAGTGAACTTGGGAGAGCCAAAGTAACCAATGAAGGAAGTAGGACCTGACATCTTGTGAGTCTGAAAGGTCCAGAGGGCTGCTTGGCATCTAGTTGTTCACAACAGTTCACCATCTTAGTGCCCTGAGGAACAAGATAGATCTTGGGGCAGTTAGTCAATAAACATTTATTAAGTGCCTACAACCTGCCAGGCTCCTGCTAAACATTGGGAATGCAAAAAGAAGCAAAGGACAGTCCCTGCCCTCAAAGAGCTCCTAATCTAATTGGGGAGACAGCATGCAAACAAATATGTACAAAGCTAGCTCTAGACAGGCTAAATAGGAAATAACCAACAGAGGGAAGGCACTGGAATTAAGAGGGGTTGGGGAAGGCTTTCTGTAGAAGGTGGGATTTTAGGGGACAGCTAGATGGCGCAGTGGATAGAGCACCAGCCCTGGAGTCAGGAGGACCTGAGTTCAAATCTGACCTCAGACACATAACACTCACTAGCTGTGTGACCTTGGGCTAGTCACTTAACCCCAATTGCCTCACTAAAAAAAAAAATAAATAAAAGAAGATGGGATTTTAGTTGGGATTTAAAGGAAGCCAGGGAAGTCAGTAGTAAGAGCATCCATGGCATGGGAGACAAACAGAAAGAATGCCCAGAGACAAGAGATAAAGGGTCTTGTCAGTAGACTAGCCAGGGGAGTAGAGTCACTGGATTGAAGGGTACCTGTCAGGACTCAGGCGTAAGAAGACAGGAAATGTAGGAGAGGGCTCCGTGATGAAGGGCTTTGAATGCCAGGCAGAGCGTTTTGTATTTGCTTCTGGAGCAATAGGAAGCCACTGGAGTTTTTGGGTGGTGGTGGTGGTAGTGGTGGTATTGATATGATCAGACCTAAAGAAAAATCATTTTAGCACTTGAATGGACAATAGGTTGGAATGGGGAGAGACTTGAGGCAGTTAGGACCCTACCTCACCCCTAAGTAGGCTATTGCAATAATATGGGTGTGAGGTGATGAGGGTCTATACTAGAGGGGTGTCAGAGTCAGAGGAAAGAAGGGGGCATATTCAGGAGAAGCTGCAAAGGTGAAATCAACAGGTCTTGGCAACAGCTTGGACTCAGGGGTGGTAGAAGGAAGGGAGAATGAGAGATAGTGAGACCACCAGAAAAGTAGTGAGCCTGAGGGACTGGGAGGATGGTGTTGTCTTCCACAGTCATAGGCAAGGTAGGAAGTGGGGAGGATTTGGGGGAAAGATAGTGTTTCATTTTGTATATATTGAGTTTAAGATTTCTACTGGACATCCAGTTGGAGATGTCTGAAAGGGAATTGGAGATGTAAGATTGGAGGTCAGCAGAGACATTGGGACAGGAAAGGTAAATATGAGAATCATCAATGTAGAGCTGGTAATTAAATCCATAGGAGCTGATGAGATGACCAGGTGAAGTAGTATAGAGGGAGAAAAGAGGAGGACCCAGGACAGAGCCTTGAGGGATGCCTATGATCAAGAGGGCATGATCTGGAGGAGGATTCAGCAAAGAAGACTGAGGAGAAGTAATCAGCTGTAGGAAGAGAACCAGGAGAGAGTGATGTCCTAAAAGCCTAGAGAGAAAAGAGTGACCCACAGTGTCAAAGGCTGCAGATAGAGGTGAAGGAAAATGAGGATTGAGAAAAGGCTACTAAGAGATCATTGGTAACTTTGGAGAGAGGGTGCTGAGGAGGTATGAGTTTCAGAGTTGATTTCATCTTGCAGAATAATGATAAACTTATAGTTGAGAAGGTCCTTAGAACACAGAACATCAGAACTCAGAAGGACCTTAGAACATGGAAAACAGAATGTCTGAGCCAGTAGGGAGGGCTGCTAGGTAGCACAATCAATAGAGTGCTGAGTTTAAATATAGTCTCAGACATTTCCAAGGTGTATGACCCTGAGCAAGTCATTTAACCTCATTTTCCTTAACTGTAAAATGAAGATCATAATAGCACACCTATCTCCCAGGTTTGCTGTGAGGAGATATTTTTAAAACACTTGCACAGTGCCTGGCACATGGTAAATGCTTAATAAATGCTTATTCCCTCTTTCCCCAAAAAACATGAAGTATCAGGGCTGGGAGGGAGCTTAGAGACCATCTAGTCCAGAAATTCTTAACCTGGGATCAGTAACATTTTTTTAAACATTTTTGTAACTGTAAAACATTTTGTAACTGTACATCAATATAATTGGCTTCCTTTGTCATCCTATGTATCTTATATTATCTAAAAACATTATTCTGATAAGGGAGTCTCACCTGACTGCTACATTTCTAGCCTTCTTACACCTTACTCCATGAACTACAAGACACTCCGTCTATTGGATCCAAGCATTTTCTCCGGCTGTCCGCCATGCGTGGAATGCTCTTCCTCCTCACCTGTCTTCTGGCTTTTGTGGCTTCCTTCAAGTCCTGAGAAAAACCCCATCTTCTACAGGAAGACTTTCCCAAACCCTCTTAATTCTAGCAACTTCCCTCTGCTGACTGTGTCCTATTTATCTTGTCTATAGCTTGCTTTGTATATATTTATTTGCACGTTGTCTCCCTCCATTAGATTGTAAGCTCCTTGAGGGTAGGGACTGTCTTTTGCCTTTTTGTATCCCTAGCACTCAGCATGGTGCCTGGCACATGGTAGGAGCTTGAAAAATATTGATTGATTGATTGACAAAGGGGTCCATGGCACAAAAAAGATTAAGAGGACTGCTGAAACCTAGCCCAATGTTCTCATCTGACAGATAGGGAAATAATATAATAATAATAATAACAACAGGTAGCACAGAGCTTTGTATACATTATCTCACTTAACCCTCACACAATTATTCTCCCCAAGCAGATTAAGTGACTTGCCCAAGGTTACACGGCTATTAAATGTCTAAGGCTGGATTTGAATTCAAGCCTTCTTGACTCCAGGCTCAGGACTCTTTCCACTGCACCACCTAGGTGCCACAAACTGATCTCTGGAGGAACTGGCTAAAGGTCCTTGGGGAAGAAGCATCCCATCCAGTCTCCTTCCCCACCCTTTGGCCTCCCGGACTCCGCTGCACCCTCCATTCCCTGTTCCCTGGCTCCGGCTCCTCCCCTGCCCCCTCCTCTCACTCCTCCTGCTCTGGCTCCTCCCCTGGTGCCTCCTGGCCCCGCCCCCACCGCCTCCTTCCTTGGCTCTCCTGCGTGGCCCCGCCTCCCCCTGCCTCGCCCCGCCCCCCGCCTCCTCCTTTGGCCTTCCCTTCCCTGGCCCCGCCTCCATGGCCCCGCCCACACACCACGTCTCCCACTGTCCCCGCCCCCTGACTCCTCCTTTAGGCCCCCTCCCTCGGCTCCGCCCCTCCACCCGGCCCAGCTCCCTGGTTGTGACGTCTGCAGGAGCCGCGCAGAGGCTGCTGCGCGTGAGCGCCATCCCGGAAGTGCGAGGCTCCCAGATGTGCAGGTGCCGCTGCTGCCGCCGCCGCCGCCACCGCCTTTGCAGCTGAGTCTGGGGTGGTGGGAGATGGAGTGGGGGGGGACCAGGAGACAGTCCGGGAGGGGGTACTGCTCGCTGCCTTCCTGGGCCCAGCGGGGAGGGGGGTGGGGGCGTCCAGCTGTGCACCTCTGCCCGGACACATCTGGCGACCTTTCCCAGCCCCAGCCCTTTCCCTCCTGAGCCTGTACGGGGCGGGCTATGACCGCAGGCAATAGGAAGGGCTTGGTTCGGTGAGGATCTGAGAGAGCCAGGAAAGAGTCACAGAGTTCTAAAATGTGGACTTAGGCTGTCAGGGCTGGACTACCTTGGGACATAGAGCATGGGATCTCTGCGGGAAAGGGACTTCAGAGCGTACACATATGGGAGGCCAGGCGAGAGGACCTTTAGAATAGACTGGCAAAAGGAGAAGGGACTTAAGAACAAAGATTTATACAATGTCAGACCAGGAGGGACCCTAGAACATAGAGTGGCAGAGGTGGAAGGGACAGTAGAACAGGGAAAGTCAGAGCTGGCAGGGCCCTTAGAACAGAGAATGTTAGAGCTGGCAGGACCCCTAGACTAGAAAATATCAGAGCTAAGAGCGTCCTTGGGATATAGTATGTCATGAGCTAAAAGGATCTTTAGAGGTCCCTTACCTTTCTTGCAAACTCCCATCCCATCCTCCTCCCCATTTACAGAGAAGAAAACTAAGTCCTGAGGAAGTCTTTCTAGAAGAGTACTGGGGTTTCCAGGCACTCCAAGGGATGTCTCTGTCAAGACCTTGCTCAGACAGTCCCCTAATGGCCGTCTGCCTTTTGGCAGGACTAAAAACCCCAGTGGGGACCATCTGGTCCTATCAGGGCCACAGCCTGTTGGGAAGTCCCAGAATCTGGGGGATGCAGTCTGCTAATAAAACAGAAGTCTAGTCTGGACAGTTCCAGGTTGAGAACAGTGTTAGGAGAAAGAGTGAAGGTATCAGCAAGGAGCATGCGTGCCTGCCTGGCCAGTCTCAGTAACCACTGCCTTTGGCTGGTCTATAGGCCGCAGAGGAGGAGGAGGAGGAGGATATGGAATCTCCCAATTCTGCCTCAGAGGTGTTCTGCAACCGGATTCTCAGCATGGTGAATTCAGAGGATGTAAATGCCATCATTCAGGCCCAGAAGAACATGTGAGTCAAGTCATCCATCCATGTCCATCCTTCCATGCATCTGTCCATCCACCAAGGAAGCACCCAAAGATCTGAGTTCAATTCTGGCCTCAGACACCGAGGGTCTGTTTGACCCTGCGCAAATTACTTAACCGCTGTTCGACTCAGTTTCCTTAACTGCAAAATTGGATAATAACTTCACCTACCTAGCAGGGTTGTTATGAGGTTCAAATGAGATAATATTTGTAAAAAGCACGTGCTGGTACGTAGTAGATGTTATATAAATGCTTATTCCCTCCTCGTTTCCTTCTTCCCTTTCTCCTACCTGCTATGAGCCAGTCATTTCGAGAGACACTGGAGATAGAAAGACAAAAAAAAAAAATAGAAGAAAGTGTTCCTGCCCTCACAGAGCTTATCTTCGAATGGGGAAGACAACACATACATATATTGGTATAAATGGGGTCGTGAAGAGTCAGACACAACTGAAAAATTGATGATAAGAGGCAGTCATTGGAGTTTATTGGGTAGGGGACTGACACAGTCAGATCTGTACGTAAGGAAAATCCCCTCGTTGGCTGAGTGGAGGATGAATTGGAGTGGGGAGAGACGAGATCTGGGTTTCTTAACCTGAGATTAACAGTAGATAGATTGGATACATTTTTTAAAATTCAATTTGATTTTATTTTCTACTCTGAATCTTCTCCCTCTCACCACCTCATCCCTCTCCATTGAAAAAGTAAGAAAAAAAAAACCCAGTACAGGTATGTATAGTCAAATAAGACAAATTCTTTACATCATTATGGATAGATTTCAGGGGATCCATGAACTTGTATAGAAAAAAAAATGACATTTTTATTTTCACTAACCTCTAATTGAAATTTAGCATTCATTTCAATAATATATGTAGGTGACAAACATTATTCTGAGAAGGGGTCCAGAGGCTTCACTAGATTGCCAGTTGGGTGTGTGATGCAAAAAAGAGATTAAGACACATGGACAAAAGGCTGAAAGCCCAGGGTATTGCAGTAGTCCAGGTGAGAGTTGATGAAGGCCTAAACTTAAATGGTAGCACTTGTGACTGGAGAGAAGGGACTTATTTGAGACCCACTTGATGTGGTGGTAGAAATTACAAGATTTGGTAGCTGAGTGAATTATGAAGATTAAGTAATAGGCAGAGATGACCCTGAGGTTGGGTACCTCGATGACTGGAAGAATGGGGGGACCTTTGTCAGTAGTAATAGGGTAATTTGGAAGAAGAGTGAGTTGGGAGTGGGGCAGGAAAGGTAAGATTTCTGTTTTGGACATATGTGCTTGAAATATCAGCGGGATATCTAGTTGGAAAAGCTCAGTAGCCATTTGGAGCTTCAGAGCGAGACCGAAGCTGCAGGGGTAAGTCTGGGAGTCTTCTGAATTGGGATGTTCATTGGACACATCACCCTTGGGAGCTGATTGACGGCAAGGCGAGAGAGAAAAGAGAAGAGGGTCTCGGACGGTTAGTCAGGATGAGATGGGGAGATTGAGCAGTGCTAGTTGGGGGAATAGGAGGACAGGATGCAGGAGAGAGTAGCATCAAAAAGACCCAGAGGGGAGGCGATATCCGGGAAGAGAGAATGGTCAACAGCGCAGATGCTGTAAAGAGGTCTGGAAGGATGAGGATGGAGGGAAGGCCGTTCCATTGGGCAACTTTTTTTCATTGTTAACTTTTAGAAATCATTTTCAATCGAGTGGTGAGGTTGGAAGCCGGGTTGCAAAGCGGGAAAGAGCGATTGAGGGGGCAGGGAGTGGAGCCAATGAGTGTCCCCCATTTTTTCAAGAAATTTGACTGGAAAGAGAAGAACAGTATCTAGTGAATGTTCTTTTTTTGGCGGGGGGAGCAATCAGAGTCAAGTGACTTCACACAGCTTGTAAGTGTCTGAAGCCAGCTTTGAACTCAGTCTTCCTGACTCTAGGACCTGTGCTTTATTCGCTGAACCACATAGCTGCCCCCTAGGGAAAGTTTTTTAAGGAGGATGGGGGCCCCAGAGTCAGGAAACTTCCAGTTCTGATACTCATGCTTCATCCTAATGCCTCCAGTACCTCCTAGCAGTGGACCCTGGGCAAGTCACTTAACTTCTCTGTCCAGTTTCCTCATTTGTAAAATGGGGTTAATGATAGCACCTACCTTACAGAGCTGTTGTGATGATCAAATAACTTCTGTAAAACACTTTACAAACTTTAAAGCGTTAAATGATTGATGTTGATGATTATGCTGGATGGGGAAAGCATGAACCTGTTTGTAAATAGAAAGGATGGAACTGGTAGATAGCCAGAGACGAAGATGAGAGAGAGAGAATGAGGATGGTCATGGGGGCAGTCTGCTGGAGAGAAGGGAAGGCGATGGGATGGAGGGAATGTGTAGGGGGCTTGTTTCATTAAGGAGAAGCAACACCTCATTCTTAGGGACTAGAGGAAAGAGAAGAAAGGTGTCTCAGCTGGTGAGATGAGAAGAAGGCGGAGCTCACAGTGAGGGCCTAGATTTTCTTGGTAGAAGTATGGGTTGATCTCCAGTTGTAGGGGAGATAAGACCTGCTCTCTGATCAGTCTCTGTAGCTGTGGGCACAGTGTGATTAAATGCTCAAGAGAATTGTGAACGGCTCTTTGAGAGTCCAGGAAGGAAAGGTCAAGGTTACTTCCTCTCAGCCTCAGTTTCCTCCTCCATAAAATGGGCCCGACCCTATCTCACAGGGTTGTTGGGAGGCCCAGATGAAGAAGTGTTTTATAAGCCTCAAATCTAATAACATTTGTCAATTGCTTATATTATTGTTATTGTTATTGTTATTATTTTGACTGGGAATAGGTGGAGGAAAGGGGACAGACAGGGTGTGATATTAACCAGGAGGAATGATTAGGATTTCAGCCAGTGGATCTGGGGAGTGGGAGGAGGGAGCAGACAGAGCTGGGTGAAGGGCATTACAAAGAGAGGAAGGAAGGAAGGTAGGCCCTTGTGACAAATAATATTTCATTTGATCCTCACAATGCTGGGAAGTAGGTGCTGTTGTTATCCTCATGTTATAATTGAGGAAACTGAGGCAGACAGGCCAAGTGGCTTGCCCAGAGTCACACAGCTAGGAAAGCTGGGTTTGGAGTTCTGAGTCAGATCTTCTGACTTCCTGACTCCAGGCCAAGAGCTCTAACCACTTTGCTAAACAGCAGCTTCTGATGAGTTGGCTTCAGCACAACAGTGCCCTATACATTCTGGAGAACAGGCCCTCCTGTCTCTCTTGACCTCTCTGATCTGCAGTTTCCTCATCTGTAAAATGGGGAATAATAATAAAATTTGCACTACCTGAAGTGACAGGCAGGCAGGTTATATCCTGTGTGTGTAATAATACCAATAATAATAGACATAATCACAATTTATGATAACAACAATAATAATATCCAGCAGTATATAGTGCTTTAAAATTTTTATTTCTCTCATTTGATTCTTACAACAACCCTGGGAGGTGAGTTATGTAACTAGTTTCCCATTTTACAGATGAGGGAACTGAGGCTCCCAGGGGTTAAGGGACTAGTAAATAATCCAAGGCAGGATTGGAATGGGGTCCTTCTGGTTCCAAGCTCCGTGCCCCTTCCACCTCGCCTCCCACGTGGATATCTCTGCTACTCAGATTGGCCCAGGGCCTGCTCATCTGATTCCTTTCTTCCCTGGTCTTCCCACCCTCAGGCTGGACCGGTTTGAGAAAACCAATGAAATGCTCTTGAACTTTAATAACCTTTCCAACGTCCGCATGCAGCAGATGAGCGAGCGTTTCACACACCACACCAGGACACTGATGGAGATGAAGAAGGACCTGGACAGCATCTTCCGAAGGCTCAGGTTAGTGTCTCACTCTGCCCTGCCCCCCTGCTCTGAGATGGCGGACTCTGGCCCTGGGAGCCTCAACTACCAGCCAAGACCACAGAAGCCTGTGAGAGCGTAGGTAGGAAGAGGCGGCCAAAACTGTTCTCCTTACAGGGGAGGCTGGAGTGACTTTGATGGAAAATTTAAATTGTTGCTTTTTTTCTCCTTTTCCTTCTAGGACTCTGAAAACAAAGCTGTCAAAGCAATACCCAGACGCTTTTAGTCGTAAGTGTCTCTAAGGCTTGACCAACTCTGACCTTTTCTGATCTGAGTTCTAGCCCCCCAGCTCTGACATTGTGTATCCTAAGGGCCCTCCCAGCTCTGACATTCTGGGTTCTAAGGGCCCTCCCAGCTCTGACGCTTTGTGTCCTAAGGGCCCTCCCAGCTCTGA